TTTCTTTCTTTCTTTCTTTCTTTCTTTCTTTCTTTCTTTCTTTCTTTCTTTCTTTCTTTCTTTCTTTCTTTCTCTCTTTCTTTCTCTCTTTCTCTTTCTCTCTTTTTCTTTCTTTTTCTCTCTTTCTTTTTCTTTCTCTCTTTCTCTCTTTCTCTCTTTCTCTCTTTTTCTTTCTTTTTCTCTCTTTCTTTTTCTTTCTCTCTCTCTCCTCTTTTTCTCTTCCCATTCCTTGACTTCTCTTAAATGATTTCAAAGGCTATTGGTTTCTGCAACTTCCCTGAAATTCATCTGTATCTCTAACAACTGGCCTCCCAACAAGCTTTGTCACTGCTCAGTTACACTCCCATCCTCTTGTGTTTTATCTGTATTTTGTATTCCTGCACAACCTTTCTCTTGAACATGTGAGTGTCCATCAGAATTTCCTTGGATATCCTGCCTTTCCTCCCTGGCCTGTAACTAAGTGTCCCTGTTATTTTCAAAATTCTGAATAATGTATGTTCTGAAAACAGGTATTCAGTTGGTCCACTGAACCCAAAAGTGAGGTATTTGGAATTACACAAAGTATGAACTGTAAAATAGCTCTGGAGTCCAAGCTTGATGATGAGTAACTCAAATATTTCAGTGCTACACAGATTTATAATGAAGTAATAGGAGTTGAGGAACTATGGGAACTAGACATAGAACAGTGTCTAGTTCCAAACATACACATTTTTAAAATCTGGTTTTGTATTCAGATATCCAATGTGCCAATTGCATGCCTAAGAATATTTCAACATAGCAGAATCTCATAAGTGGTCTGTGTGCTGCGGCTAGCACTTTCAGACATGAATTGATGCATTTGGCTGTGTGTATCCGGGTGGATGTCCTATCTTGCCTGCTTCCGTCAGCATTTGCATGGGATTTTTGCTTTCTATTTCTTTGGGCTGTGCAGCAGTGTTTCATATGCCCTTATCTAGCTAGCTTTCTCTGTGTATTAGCAGTTTCACAGAGTTAAACCCAGGTCTCTGATAGTTAACTTTTCTGGTGACTCATGAAGAGAGTCCTAAGACTCCAAAGGCTCATTGTGCAGGAATAGCCCTCAAGACTACAAAGTTTAGAGCTTGTGGAAGGATGTGAAAAGACCACACTGGGTAAAAAGGGTTGGCTGGAGCATTAACAATTATTTAAGGAAAAAAAAAAAAACAGAAGCAGAATTCTTGGTAAATGAGAGAGTTTTTCTATCAAGAAAGTGGTTTGGAGCAGCCTGAATAAAATATCATGTTTTTGATTTTAAATTGCCAAGTCCTATTGTATTAAAGTTAGAGCTCATTAGAGCAATTCCTGACTGAAGTCAGCATTGGGACCACAGAATAAAAATATTCTGAAGAGAAAGGCTGGTATAATATTGTCATAGGAAGAATACAAGGTATTATAGCTCCACAATTTAAACCACAATCATCTTTAGTTAGAAAACTTTTGCTTTCTTTCTCCTTAATTTTACATCTGGAGGCTGCAGTAAATGATAACAGCATTGAAAGCATTTAATTTTATGTGCAATTTAATGCTCAAAATCTTTCTGCTGACTGTATTTATAAACACCTTCTGTAAGTACTAAATGTATGTGTGTGATGATTCATTTGTCACACATACCTAATCTTTTTTTTATCCATTTAAGACTTCATGAAAAAAGAATCTCAGTATTTCATGCTGAACTTTTATTTATAGAATTCAATTGTATCACAGTCTTTCTTTGTTATCAGGAACAGTTTTTCAGAAGAAACAACACCACACATAAGTCCTTGGTCTATATGCATTTTTCCCATATTGCCACTGCTAGGTCCTACTTTATTTTTAAAATGAAACATGAATTCACTAGCCTTGGAGTCAAATCCTGTATGGTAAAAGATATGTAAATAGTGCAAGTAACATCTCACCAGCCTTGGAAGGCCCATTATTAATAGTGCCACGGCATTAGCAATTTTATTCTCAGATTTTGAGAAGTATAAGAGGATGATTATTTTTTGTTTCAAAATAAAAAACAACTTTTTTTTGGTCTTTGAATCCAGTAGTATCTTGCTTTTGCCTCTGCACTTTGGACTGTCTACAAAAGGGGACAGCTTTTTGTGCAATCTCAAATTCAAAGCATCTCAGTAAGTCAATGACATCAGGTACAATAGCTTTCAGCAATTTCAAGTTCATGCTAAGAAAAGATATTTATTATTTAAAGGAAGTATTCTTCTGGGCCTGCTGGCCTTGATAGCAACCATTGTTCCGGATGGAAATAAATAAGTGAACAAATGTTGCAGCAGACCTCTTGTTCCAGGTAGAAACGAACAGACTCTCATTAAACAACATGAAAAGGATCCCAGTTTATTCTTCTTTACAGCTTAGCCATCCTGACTCTGACTACAGCAAGCTCCTACTGTAGGGGCCAACTGCAGACTCTGACTGGTGGCTATTTCCTGCTGGATTATGACTGCAAGTATTGGTTTGCAGACTCTGAACACAGGCTTTCGCCCAGCTCAGCTATGACTGCAGGCTCCTAAGTCCATCAGACCCAGAATGACCTCACAGCAGACCTTTTACTTCAGCAACTCTCTTCCTTGTTACGTTTTCTGTATCTCTCTAGCTGTTCCTTCTTCCTCAGAGCTCCTCTACCTCCTTCAGGTCCTCTTCATCAAGGTCCCCCCTGACCAGCCAGCCCATCTCTTTTATCACACATCTTTGTCAATCACATCTGCAACCCATTAAGGGCAAGGCTGTTTCTCTTCTTTCATAATTAGTACTAAGGTGACTTATCAGGGGCAAGGTCTCCTGTAATCTCTTCCTCTACACCTCCAAGCAGAAACCTCCAACTGATTAGGAAGGATTGGAAAAAGCAGCCAGGAAGGGCACTTTGATAACTTAAAGGCTTTGCAATAGTATACCTGCATCTGCTGTACTCCAATACTTACTTTTATTCTCCTTTTATTACTCTCCTTTCTGCCCATGGAAGGTTATATTTTTCTATAATTACCACAAGCAAATCTTTCTTTGGCAACACATATTGTGATTATTCACATTTTCTTTATTGCAGAAGTGGGTGGCTTTTGCATATCCTCTTTTTATATATGGCCTTTAATTTTCTGTATTACAGGCAGTACTAAGTAGTTAGCTTGTAGTAACAAAGATAACAATTAGCTACATATGTTACAGAGCTGGAACTTTCAGGCTGCCTGTGATCTTTTTGAGGCTGCAGTACATCTCCTTTACAGTTTGTTAACTATGAAAAAGAATGGAAGAAATACCATGTTCCTGTGATAGAAAATTGCCTTTATAGTGTGCAAGTTAGAAATAAATTCTTGCTTCTCTGTCCTAAAACTTGATTTTGTAGTAACTTAAACACTGGATGAGTCATTTTGCTCATTAAAGCTGGAACTATCAATGAAAATAGTAATACAGAAATTGCAGTCCTCCAGGGGAGTACAGAAAGAGAGAAGGAAGCTGCCAGACTGCTGGGATTTAGGGCAGATTTGGCTATGAATTCTCTGGTATGACTGTAAGCCATGCTGTTTTATTTAAAAGAGGAAATATTCAAGATTACTGAAGTTAGGCTTTGAAAAGCATAAGAACTGAGTCATTGCCCTGTGTATGATAAGAAAGCACAAAATTCAGTGTGACCTATGTGGTTTCATGTATGTCAAGTTTGCCAAGAGTACACTTAGAAATCCCTTGCATAAACCCTGAGGATTCAGGCAATTTCTCTGCAGTACTTGGAGCTGTACTTGGTTAAGGCTTGTCCATGTAAGACACTTCTTGTTCTCCTCTGCCACCAGCTCCTAAAAAGCTTTGTGCACGTCCTAGAAAAATGAGCTGTGGGGTATTGCAAAAGCAGCTGAATATCCCAGTGACCACAAAGAAAAGGAACAGTTCTTACATTACTTATTTTTCTTACAGATCAGAAAGATTATAAAAGACTATTTGAAACTGACACGGCAGGGATTAACAAGAAAACTGAACTACAAGAACCTATAGTAAGACTGTACTTACACATATGAGAATATTTCTCAGCTTCCTTTGTTCCTTAGTTATCTTTGGAATATCTAATGAGCTCTAGTGAGTTGTTACAGGTTCACCTTCATTGAATCTATTGCTAAAGATGACCTGCAGCATCTGTGGCTGACCAGGACCACTTGCAGATGTCTACAGAGATCTTTCTGTGTTCTCAATTCCAGATTCCCTGTACTCGTTTTATGTGGTCAGATAATGGGACAATCCCCAGAAGTGTCCATCCCCCACGCTATGCAACCAACATCATGTTGATAATTCCTTCGAACAACTTTTCTGTGGAATTCCTAGACTCTGAGGCACTAACAAAATAAAAACAAACGAAACAAAAAAAATCCCCCAAAAAACCACCAAACAAACAAAACGCCCCCAACCCCCCCCAAACAAAACAAAACAAAACCAGATAGAAGACACACAGGTAAAACTTTATATTGTGAGAGATATGAAATACAGCATCCTTTCAAGGATGAATTCGGTGCTACTTTTTATGGCACTGTGTCAGAATTGAAGACAACATAACAGCTGGTGAATTTAAGTACACATTATTTGAATTATGTTTGCTCTTTATGTTTCTGTACATACATGAGCATTTCAGGAAGAATTATCTGGGAGATTCTGACACTGTGCTTTTTCCTGTAGGAGTCAGTAGTAAGCAGAAACAACTCCAAGTTAATATTCCTTTAAGGAAGAACAGAATTAGTAAGATTTGTTGTCATTTAAATTCTATTAAAATATAAAGAGCACCATCCTAGCTATGAGATTGTGCCATCTGAGGTCCAAAGACTATAGTCATGTAATTAGCAATACTCGAGGCTACATCTTAACAAGACCATCTGGAAACTGAAGCTGTTTCAGAGTAAGGATATCCACTTTTCAATTTCATGTTCATGTAATCAATCAGTGTGTGTGCTGCACTAGAAGCTTGATATTTTCTAGTTGGAGGTTATTTTTAACCTATAAAACTCTAGTGCTAAGTTGCCTGCTGCTGGTTAATATTTCTAGAATTAACCTGAGGGTCTCATTCCTAAGAGATTTGGTACTTGGTTACCTCAGAGAGGTGTACAAAGCCTATCTTAATGTTACCAGCATATGAGAAAGAGGCAAAAATGAAAGATTTAAGATGAACAGATGTTGAGAGAACTTTTATCATGAGGTCAGGTAAATGTCAGGTTTGTTTTACGTGGGTTTTACTTCTGATAGTGTGCTAGATAATGCTCACAAAGGTATTGGGAAAATAGATGGTCCCCTCACAGAAATTGAGACAAATATGTAAATTACTTCCAAGTAAATGTTTTCCCTTAAAAAACAGGAAGAAAGTAAAATCCAATGCAGGTGCAATTTCTAGCTCTTTAACTCTGGATTCCCAAATTACCTGATGAAAGCTTTTCAGAGAAAGCTCAATAACTGCATAAAAGTCTCCCTTCATTATTTGGGGAAACTGCAAAACGGAACCACTCACTCCACAGATTAACTGGAGGACTAAAAGTAGTTTTTTATCTAAAGGAAGAGAGAAGATCTGATTCTTATATTACTTACATGCATATAAATACGGAGTAATTTCTCTGAATCCAAGGGAGTAGTGCCAGTTTAGAAAACATATGAAAAATTGTTAGAGTAGTGCCCAGTGTAATGCTGTAAATATTATGCAGATCTATTTGCATACATAAAGTATTTCTCTGCAGGGTCCAACATTGACTTTTTTGACCTGCCCTGCATAAGTACTCTGTCTATTTAAATAATGGATAAATAGACACACAACTCCATATTTGTCATTGCACTCAGTATAGATGACAAAGGTGACAAAGTAAGTGCATTAGGAAACAATGGCTTATGCAAAATTATGTTTTACTTTTATTCATAGGTTGAATCACTATAATCCTTAAACTTCAGGGCCATATTGTCCCTGAGATTTGGGAAATGAGATGGGAAATTAATATTTCATTTTAGATGGATCAGAGTTTTTCAATGAGGTGTAATATAATAATGAAAAAGAAATGTAGTCGACTGATATATACAGTTGTTTGCCCTTCTGAAATACAATTGAAGTGTGCAATGCCTGAGCAGTGTCAGAGCAGTGGAGCTGTTATTAATGGTGGTATGCATTCTACTGGGAGGCAGTTCAAATTACACTGCACAGAGCTCCAAAGCTGTCCCTGCTGCCCTGATGATGAATCTACACTCATTGCTTTAAAAGGATCTAAATTAGGTTGCATTGAAGGCAGGGATTTCAATGCCTGCTCCTCTGCATTGTAGAGAGTTCCAGTGCATATGAAAAAGTATGACAGTATGGTGCATAAAATGATATCAAAGTCCTATTTTCTATTTTGTTCACTAGCCCTGAGGTAGTGTTTGCATAATAATGATTTGTGACTCTGCATAATAATGTTTTTCTGGGAAGGTTTTGAAGTGGATGCTTATTACAGTAAGGGATCCACTGCATGGTGACTGCAATAGAACCCATTCATGCTGCAGTGGATGATGTTCTACATCAAAAGGCATTTTAGTTTAAGATATGTATATGTACATGTTTGTTTAGTAAACCAGGGCTGAACTGAGTTGCTTTCTTTTTTGTTTCTTTGTTTGTTTGCTTTGTCTTGTTTGGTTTGGGGATTTTTATTTGTTTGTTTGTTCGGTGAGTGGAGGGAAAGGTGTGCAAAGCTTTCTTTTATGTCCTTAGGATACAATTGACAATATTTGAGCTCAGTAAAGGTCAGTATTACACAAGTGACAAATATACATGAAAGTGAGGCTCTAAGAAGATAATATTCTGATCTTTATGCGACAGACTAGAGTGCAAGGCCTTTTATAAGACTGCTGTCCCTATCAGCTCAGGCACTTCCAGCTCCTTTGTGCTGTGTGTAAGGCATGTAATGATTGATGATCTTTTCAATCTGTCTTCTATTGCTGAGCATTTGTTACAGGCAACCTTCTGTGATGACCCACCAAGGACATGAGTTCCTGACTTCAGCTAGAGAGTCCTGGTTTTTCATTTTGGTCAGCACTGGCTTGTCGCAAGATTAAACTTCTGTGTGATTTCCCAAGAGGGTGTCTATCTAAACAGCTTGCCTGCCTTTCACCTTCTGTTCTTTGTGTTTGAAGATCCCCATCTGTTCCATGAAGGCACTGCTCCATTTCTGTTCAGTCTTGTGAATGAAGTAGTGAATGAACTGGTAAGAGCATAACCTCTGAATTCACCCAGGATTAAACCCCTGAAACATCAGAATAGCTTCTGGGGTTCTTTTGTGTGTGTGTGTGTACGTATGCGTGTTTGGGTGTATTTTTGTAGTAGGATGACTCTTGGGGAGAGATGATTCATCTAAAGAAGTGATCAACAACTTCCTCAAAGAGTGGCAGTGGATGGAGAGGTATTAATTCCTCTCTCTGGTGACCAGTGGTAGGTAGCTGTGTCAGGGGAAGTTCAGACTGGATATTAGGAAGAGGTTCCTGACTGGGAGGGTGGCTGGGTACTGCAACAGGCTCCCCACAGCACCAAGCCAGTCAGAGTTCAAACAGAATCTGGTCAATGCTTCTGGTCATATTTATGCTCCTGGTTTACTTTTAGGTAATTCTGTGAGAGGCAGGGAGATTATCTTTACTTGTCTTTTTCAAGTTGAGAAATTCAGTGATCATGTGATTCTATGTGGTAAAAAAAATCCTCTGAAATGGCATAATAATGTTTTTCCTTCGTCACCATAGTTTGAATTCTCTTTAGGGCAAAATGAATGAAGAGTTAAAGAAGACACAATCACCATAGTAATTGTTATAAATATTAAATTATGGTATAAATATGTATGTATCTAATGGTATGTATTTTATAAATACCCAGTATCTGATATTTAATGGATATTATGCATAGTTATAATCTATACTAATCTACTAATATATCTAATATATAGCATTTATACTTATGTAATCCAATGGTTAATTGTCATCCAAGTTATTGCACAGGGAGATAGGAAATAAATTAGGAATACTGAAAATATACTGCAAAAACTGTGCTTAAAAGCTGTCATGTACATTGCAGTTTCTGAAATACTAGATATATGCAAACTCGTATTACTGACCCTTCTGATCATGTGGATAAAGATTCTGTGCTCCTGTTTTCATCTTTATCACTGCTGTGGAGGAATCTGTTATTAAGTGGCTAGCAAAGATTTATTAAAAAAGTCAGCTCCACTTCTGTGATGGCCAGGTACCGGCTTTTAAGGCGCAGAGATAAAAACTATGGTTTTGGTAGTTCAACTTTATTTTAGCAGTGTGTTGACATCCAATAAGAGCATTTGCTTCCCTTTCTTCTAAGTGGAACTATTGATTAACTACCTGTGCTTTAAGTAGAAAATTACAATGACTAAAGCTGTAAATAACGGCTGTAAAATGCAAAAAAAAGGTAATTTTGTTACTAAAGCCATTTAGGTTATCTCTTAATTCACTCCTACTCCTGTTTCCTGAGGTTGAAAATTCTGCTGTTATTATGATAAACTTCATTTCAATGCATTCAAATTCAGCGAGCCTAATCAATGTTTTCGTGTGATAAAAGAACTTCAGACATCCTGTCTACACTTGTCTCGTGCCCATTAAGTCTGTATTAATGGAGGAGACTTTTAAAAGTTATAGGCATATAACATTAGATGAGATGTTAAAATCAGTCAAACTGGACAATATCCAATTTTAAATAATTGATGGTACCTCTCAAGTAGAATCACAATGCACTGCAATAGAGTAATTTTTAAAAATACAAAGAGCAGAGGGAGCATGGAGATGTTCTGAGATTAGCTCAATAGGAAGATTTCAGATTCTAGCATGATTATGTAACTGCTTGCTTAAGAATGGGGAACTGTAGAGATAAATGAATGAAATTGCATACAAGACAAAAATGTTGTAAACCGGAAGCCGCTCTGAGTCATTTTGAAAACTTACTAGGTCTGAATTTCTATATTAAAAATGTCCCAATTCCTCAATGACTTCAGCTTAAAATTTCCCAACAGCAACTTTCAGGTATTTCTGAGCAACAAATATTTTCATGTGCTCAATTACATAGTCATAAGAAATACACAAGCCAATGTTTTAAATACATGTATGCCATGCTAAGACAATATTCCTTCCTGACTTGTCATTGTCTCATTGCTTTGAAAGTAATGCATGGGGAAATTGGTACCTTACTATTTATACATTATAACTTCTGCATTTGAACACTACAGAATGATGCCAGTAGTCTTCATATATTCTTCCCTTCCTTTTTTTCTCCTTCTGACTCCTTCATTTTGAATCTGGACATAAGCATTCCATGACAAATTCTGCTGTGAAGACTGCAACTTGGAGTTGATTTCTATCATTTAAAAAAGCATCACTTCCTATGTATAAATGGTATGTATATTTACTTTCACAGTCTTCAGTCACTCTATGTTTCACTACAAACCACTATTTTCATAAAAGAAAAGAGAAAATTAGGAAGCTACTTAATATACTGGAGTGTAAAAGTATGTGGGAAATGAAAAATAAAACCAAACTCTTCAATAACCGTAAGTAAAAATAACATTTTATGCCTAACAGAGGATGATAATGCCTCTTCAAAACAAGAGGTTTATAGCTAAATAAAATAAAATTAAATAAAATAAAATCCTACTGATTGATAACAGTAAACCTCTTGTAAAAAGACGTTTTGGTAAGTTGTTTTCTCCTTTGTTAATGGAATACTTTTTTCTTGTCATATCAGAAAAAGACAGAGAGATCGGGGAGAAAAAGAGATGAAAGACTAATAAAAATCAAATCTCATACTTTTAGATATCAATTATATAATTTATTTAGAGGTAGTAACCGTATGTGGGGTTTAGTTTTGTTGTATTTCAATCATGTTTGTTTAATGATAGAAAAAATACCAAGGACCAACCACCATATTTTCCATGTACTTTCAGGAGAACACAACAAAGTACAAAGGACCAGTAAAAAAACTTAATTTCTGAGCAGAGCTCCTTCTCTGTTCTCTTCCATCCTCAGATGCAGGAGGAGATGTGGAGAGTATAGCCTGTTTCAAAGGGACTTTTTATTTGATGCATTCTCTAAGTACCTGGAAGCTTATTGAGACTTTCATACTTGTTGACATAGCCTTGGGGCTTCCCTAAGATTAGGGAATCAAGGCTGCCCTGAATTAATAGAAAATACATTAAATTTTATTTCTCTCTCACTGGTAAACCTCCTGTCTTTGGGGACCAAGACAGAAACATTTGAATAAGAGCCAGTTCATGCCATGTCAGCATGAAGTAGAGGCAAAGAAGTCTTAAGTTTGTCTGCAGTGTGACCAGCTGATGATGGAATTGGAGAAAAGGTAAACTAGCAGGTCAGAGAGAGGTAACGGGGATAAAACAGTAATATACCAGCACAAGCTATCTTTAGGTTGGATGTTTTATACTCATGGCTTTAGAAACAGAATTAGCAGTGCTTCATCATAGCAATTGCAGTCTTCTAAATGGCCTAAAACTAATTTTTGAATAATTCTTAGTTTTTGATCAAAATTATTCTTCTTTAGTAATGTAACGACTAGTAATTTTGTAGGGAACACAACACATTGGTACTGTTGTAGGTGTTGTTGACTTCAGCATCTTATTACACATTATTTAATCAAGAACATTTACATTTACAAAAGCAACATTGAATCTTATGACAGGAGAGTACATGACAAGCATGTTGAGATAGTTATTTAAGGTGTTTTTCCCTTAGGTAGGAAGCTTCACGGACAAGAAAATCCTGCCAGTTTTACAAATTAAATGCATGTAGCTTGCCATAATTTCTTTCATGAATTCATATTTTCTTTAAGATGGGCTATAAGGAGGATGAGCATGATATAGGAAAATCTAATAGTTTAGAAAGACAGAGTGAGAAAGAAAGAAAGTAATTTCAATAATATGCCATGCCTGCTGGGTTGGATTTTAAAAAATACAGGTGCAGGTTTTCTTCCCCATATTTAATCCACTTCTGTGAATGTCCTGTGCAGTATCCTTTCAAGTAATATGCATTCTTATTTGTTTCATTAACTTCTCTTCTAGAGGACAATGCTATAGAGTTGACAGCAAGGGAGCTTGTGGAAAAAACAGACAGATAAGCATTAAGAACTTTCATGCAGGAAACAGTAGGATTAAATTTATTTTTCACAAACAGTACTTTGTAAAAGTCTAAATATATCCAATACCTAGCTGAAGAGAGTGATGGTTTGTGTTCTTTATATCCTGTTTACCATATGTTGTCTGATATTCAGCAATATACAGTTTCTATAGCAACTGTAAGTAAACAAGGTACATATTATATAATACTAAAGAAATTAAAAGGACAAGCTCCAGGATGTTTGGGGGGAAAATTGTGCACAAAGCACCTTAAATAAATGTAGATCCTGCACTTGCATATATATGAGACTGTTTTTGAAACCTTTCAAAGCATGCACAGTTCATCTGATTGAATTTTGGCAAAACACAAAATGTGTCAAAAGTATTTAATAACCTAATATACTTGCATTTGTGAAAATTTGCCCTGAGTTCATCTGAGATTGAAATTGAACCTGAAGATGCATTTTCTTTCCACTTATTTGTTCAGAAAAGCCTAAAATAAACAGACCATGAAAAGAGTATTCATATGGTATAACAGAACATCCTAGGCAGCACCCAAAAAGGATTCTTTATTGGGTTTCAGCTATGTGCCTGCAGTCCAATTACAGCTCAAGTAACAGTGTCTGCAAAGGAGCATGAAACATTTGAGTCTGTGAGATAATTAAGACAGTGTGGTTTCAAACAAGGATGTGCTAAGTACCTGCCAATGATAAAATGACAAAACATGCATTGAAATAGTCCCTGAGACAGAGTCCAAAGATTCCTGCAGTGTGGAAAGAACATGATTTATAACATAGATGTGATACTTTTATATTGCAATTGTTGTTTGAATGTTAGCTCACATAGACTGAATCTGAGCTAATATACCGAAAGTTTCAAGGGAAAGTTTTAGCTGAGGTTGAAACTTTGGAAAGAGTTTAAAGCTTTAAAAGATGTTTAATAATTTTCTACCCTTATGTATGATTACAAGGCAAATATTCTTGTCCACTTTTCCAGCAGTTCTGCTTTTGTTTCTTTTTTTTCTCGTTTTTTTCTTTGACCATAGAGAATTAAAATACGTCCGAGGTGAAACTGAAGTAAACACATATTATTTTAAAAGCAATATATTCATTATATGAATGTGAGGTACTTTAATTCATTTGAAATTTCCGATTGCTTCTATTCAGTAGATAAGAACAGAGTAGATGACACTAAATGTGATACAGTTAGGAGAAAAATTGCCTGTTGCACTATTTAGATAATGCCAAACTTCATTAGCATAAATAATGTTACTTCACATACATGATGGATTTTAAAAGGACATCAGTACCGAACCCAACCTTTGCAGGACGGCTGGCTAAGGCCATTAGCCCCATGTTCAGCAATTCACACAAGATGTTTTGAAGGTTAAAGTTTGAGCCATGAAAAGCACAGTGTGCCATAGATATCTTCTCCCAGAAACAGACACTCTAATCCTATCTGAATTTTAAATTAAGTATAAATGCATGCCAAGATGAGTAACTGTTTGTTTCTGGGTACATACCTGCAAAAGACCCATGTTGCTGTCCCAGTTGTCTCCAAAGAAGAGGGAGGAATGTTTATTTGATTAAACTGTGTTATATATTTCCTACCCCTGTAGGAGGATGGTGAATTAGGTGGGCTTTGAAAAAGTGAAGCAGACTCCCCATGACTCTGTAGTGAAGGGTAGGAGTTCAAAAACTGAAATATATTACAACAGAGTATTTGGTACAAGTAAATACTCCAGTATACAAATGAACCCCAAAATAGCTTTGTATGCACAGTTGGGCAGTTTTGTTCAAATATTGATAACATCATGCATGAATACCCAATCTTTTTATTCAAACATTGGTTCTGAAAATGCAAAAGGCAGTGTGTCCTTGAATGGAATTTTGAGAGACTGAAAATTTGGCCCTTGGCGTGTTCATATTTAGTGCCTATTATTCATTCCCCAGAGCAGACTTTATGTAAGAAATGTTTTAATAAAAGAAATAAAGGTTCTCCATATGAAGTTTAGTGCTAACATTAGACACCAAAAGAACATGAAGCAAAGCTAGACTTTTTTTTCTTCTCTTATTTAGATGTTTCATTAGGGAAAGCTGTGCTCTCTTTTGTTGCTTGTTTATTTTTGTTTGGGTTTGGTTTTATTTTATCTTGTTTGCTTCGTTTTGTTTCATTTTATTTTGTTTGGCTTGTCTTCCCCCTAAAAAAGGTATTAACATCTTAAAAGACAGGAGATCCAAAATCTCTCTGTGTACATGTGTCAGTCTTTATATCTGTTATATGTGTACTTGATATATAAAATCCTATTTAAAACAGAAAAGATGGAGAGTTTGCCTATGTATATTGTTTAATTTGTGATTTGTTTTTTTGGAATGCAAAAATAAGGAGGCTTATGTACTCACTAACTTCTAAAGGTTTAGAGTGATCTAACAGGATGGAAGACAGTAGCAGACTTCAGCAATCAGACCAGAGGCTGCTTTCCTGTTGTGAGTGTTTCATTAAACATTCCCTCCTTTAGACTACTAGGACAATACAGAATAGAGCTGATATGGGTAATCCAGGTTTATGTGACCAGCTGAAATATTGAAGCACCAAACCAACACTTTCTCAGAAAACTCCAAAGGAAATGGAATAAGCTGTTATTACCTTGGTCTTGATTAGCTTTTCTTGATCTTCGTGGTTTAGTGTCCTCATATGTACTACCTGAGCAAAGTATTTTTGAAAATACAAACTTTTTGTTATTACACAGGAATGCAAGGCCAAAAAGTCTGTAGTACTTTTAAGAATGTTGAGAAGTTTCTTGAATAAATACTCCAATGATTTTAAAATATGTATTTGTAATGAGAAAAAAAATGCTATTCTTGAGTTAAATAGTGAGTGTGATGTACGTTCACTGTCAGTTACAATGACTGAAAACAAAAGTAGTATCAAAACGGAAGTTTCATAAAATATTTGTTAGTTTCTAGGCTGACCTTCACCTGCTTTGTCTGACTTATTCCACTAGTACAAACTACAAACAGAAATAACAGCTCTTTTCCTCTACATGGTGTCTGAGACTGGTTTTGTTCAATGGTTTTGCCATTACTAGACAGAGGAAATTATCTGAGATAAATGAGGGTGGTTTTTAAGAGGTCAGTCTCTTTAGAGTGTACAGATGATGCAGGGGAACCACTGTTATCATGTTAACACATCTGAAACAGAACTTAGAGCATGCTTTCTCCTTGGAAATCAATCAAACAGGAGATCAGTAGAATGGAAGTGTCTTAGAAA